GCTTGAAATGTTAAACTCCATTTCGCATTTAAATATGCTAAGGAATATATTCAGAGATCGTATTTTCTTTTAATTCCATCGCGACTGTAACAAATGCAAAAGCACCAATACCATCGAAAGAAAGCAAGTCCAAGGCAAGTTGTCCGATATAGCCATCTTTTCGAAACTTATTGTTGTCCCAGATTTGAACGAAGAGTACTGGATCTACCAACAGTGACGACTTCTTGCTGAGATTGCAAATGTAAAAAATAATAGGCAAGTTGATAAATTGCAGAATCACAAAAAGTAATCTTATTTCATCAAAACAACATCTAGTGAAAAGATAGCAGATTTAAAAGAAAAGACCTAAAGAGATGTTTTTTGGTGTACATCGCGATTTTCTTCTCCCAGATATCGAAATCGAAATCAAACACGAAACGCCAGTTAAATGAGCCATATCCATCAAGACTTCGGTAATGAACATCAGTTTTCTCTTCTTTTTCACTTCCGTTCAAAAAAAACCTTCAGATAGATATCTGCTGCCTGAAATAATATCAAAAACTGTATTGTTATGAACTTTTCCACACTCTTATTACATTTTCATTTGAAGGGAAAATTTCCGAAATCATTCCATTCAGTGAAATCTACCGAAAAATCTATGCCTGCATTTTTTCATGCTCTTTTGAATCATTGCTTAGATGTGCACAAATACCGGTTTCCCCATCGTCCTCTTGGTAAGAATTACATTACGAACACTCCAAACTGCTACACGAAGCTGAAATCCATGAGGCCGTCGAAGTGATATATTCAAGGGCGGAGGTACCGATCCCACTGCATGTGGGAACAAATCGACAAACATTTCCAGTTTACCACACTCGCTATCCGTATTGACAGCACTGTATAGCGGTCGCGTTTCCACATGTTCTGGTACCAGATTCATCTAAATGGTAACACCCGATTAGTTTTCATGTACCTCATCGAATTTATACCGGCACTTCAACCTATAGGCCTGGGAATCTTCTTGATAAAAAAACAAGCCTTAGTCAAAATATAAAGCGCGACTCGTTGCAACGGCCGGCCCAAAATCTCCGCATGATTTAGAGGAACATTCTCAATATCACTCAACCACACCACGACTCCAGCAATCATGATCCCGACATCATTTCCTTTCATTAGCAGTTCTGGCGCAGGATAGTTCATCTTCATGCATTGCCTGAACAACAAAGAATACAAAAGACCGAGCGAAGACTGTTATATCTGTCCTTCACTGAAACATCCATTTCACTTATCAGCCCATATTATTTCTGAATTCAATTCGTATAGCTTACAGTTGGCAACTTATGGAAGCGGTAGCAACTCTTTAAAGGTTGAGTATAACTTGCCGTTTTAATATGCTGAGAGGTGTAAGTTGATCGCGCCAGACAAGTGGTCCCCGTATTGTATACTGCTTTGGTAAACCAACGGTAGCTCGAAACTGTGTCAAAAGACGATTTTCCAAATCAATTACCGTATGTCCAATTTCATTATCTGCAACAAATTTTGTAGCAATTTGACTTTCTGTTTTTATCTTTAAATTCTCCAGTTTATTTTACTTGAATACTTCTTAGGATACTTTTGTTTGGTGCTCCTTAATCTCGATTCTTTTATATTCACAAAATGAGTAATAGTGGAACTTTAAAGAAATGAATAGAATGAACGGAAGCGAAATGAATTGTACGCACGATGTGCTCGCATACCAGAAAAGATACGATGACGATCCATGACTGATACCACAAGATTTTTATCCATTGGTATCTCCACTTCCATTTCAATCATCTGGCCAAACAAGGGATTCAGTGAACCTGGTCGATAATCTTTTCGCAAAGTTTTCTTCTTTTTTGTTCCACATCTACATCTTCCAATTTTGTTTAACCACTTCATACTTCATATAAGATGCAGTGATTCTTTTCAAAGAACTTTACAAAAAAATCAACAATTTTCAGGCTAATCATCAAATCTGAAACTAATCAGTCTAACGATTCACGGCTGCCACTTCAGTTTTTCATTCAAAGAGAATTCATTGTGACTGTTAATTTTTTATTTTTTCCTGAAATTAAAATTAGTTTTTGATTTTTTTCAAGTTGAAATTACCAAATTTCTAATTCCAATAACTTTTTGTGGAGAAACTAAACTTTCCGATTATTTTTATATCCGGGGTCAAAGATATAAAAACAAAACCGACTTCACACTAATGTAAGCATCACAGGTGCCATCCTTTCGTCTGCTGATCAAATCAAAAGCTCTCACGATGTATACGCGAATAGTGCACTTGGTTACCCCAGCAAATTCGACGATGGGCGAGGCGAAAAAATCTAAAAAAAAAGAAAGATATTAACTGAAGGGCAAAATCAACTTTGTGAACCATGAATGATGTAGAAAACTGAAAATGAGACCATTTGACATTTTGTCCTCTCTTCTGATGAAAATTCGGGCTTTGAGTTCACCGCGTGGTATCCTTAATTCTGGTGTTTCGATGTTTTCTTTAGTCATTTTCCGAAAGATAAATGTGTCGAGAAAGTCAGAAAACCCACAATATTCACTTACATCTTCAAGAGCACACGTAAACACCCGTAATGTTTCGATTCCAGAACTGAAAAGAGAGGACGATATGTAGTCTGCAAAAATGCAGTAACACTTCTTCAAAGGTACTCTCAAAAGTAAACTTCTTTAATTTCAATAATTCCAAGCTAATAAATTACTCAGCATATCCTGGTGCTTTTTCGCTTTCCCCAATTGAACTGTAATATTTGCTCCACCAGTCGATGATGCAATTACCAAAGAAATATTCTTCGGAATCTATCACCGTCATTCTTTTCTCATAAGCTTCCTCGAAGGATAACGTCTCATCATACTTCTGCCAACTATAAATATCCCGTCTCGTACGCTGAAATATTTTGGAGATTTTAAATTTTCTGTAGCAAATGAATTTCATCGCACCATTGATGAACATATCTACTGGTTTCTAATCCCATATATTTAGCATTAACAACCAGGTAACTGTTTATCATTAAGCCAATTTTTCTTGCAAAAGATTTCCAAAAAATAAAAGATATCGATTATTGAGTATTCGGTTAAAAGGTGTTGTAAAATGTATGATGCATGAAAATACGAACCTTCGGTAACTTGTTAATATATTTAGCAAAATCATGAACAACGCAAATACCGATGTGCGGTTCACGCCCAAACGAACGTCTGTCATACAGATTAAAAGTTAACGGTGGTGCGTAATAAAAATGAGCAGGAAGTTGAACTTCATTCAGAATTATCAATGGCCGTTTGAAGTTTGGATTACGTTTCGCATCTTCGATCACGTCACTTCGAGCTATCTTGTTACCAATTCGAATTTCCACAAATGGATTACGTACAGATGACAACTGCAAAAGGCACTGTGAAAAATGATAAATAACAAGTCAATCATGCTAGTTTCTCTATAGCCAGTTCAAGAACTTAATCAATGTATGCTAACTATTATATTTGATAGGATAAATTAGTTTCCCGAATCGGCAATCATTCACATACGCATACGACACTTCGAACGCTTAGGAGATGTCATGTAATTTAGGCCGTCAATTAGAGTTTTGTAAGATCAATAATCAATGGGTACGTTTGCTGCTAACAGCCAAAAAGTGCTTTCTCATCAACATGCTTTTTGAGGGTAAAGTTAGTGAAATAATAACGACCTGTCATTATTGTGCAACTCTTCAACCTACCTGATATCGAGGTAAATCCCGAACACCCCAGCACAAAATTTGCACTGTATACTGTTTGACAATCGGACAAACGCTTCGTGCTATTGAATAACGATTGCTTTGTTTTTTACGTGGTGGCTTCAACGGCGCAATGTGTATAGCTTGACCCTCATACAAGAATAATTCAAATAGTGCTAATAAAGCGCCTCTAAAAATGTATGTTGCCTGAGATAGCTTTATTTATTTCAATAAAATTAAAATCAGGAAATTACGATTCATTGAAAATTAACGCTTCTGCTCTCACATACTTCTGTCTATCCTTGCGAAGTGATAACGGAAACCAATTAGGCGTTCCACGCTGATCAGTTGCAAGTGATATAACTGAGGGTGTTGTCATAAAACGTCCAAGAAATATTTCGGAGGAACTGAAATCTTCTGAGCATACTTCTACCACCACTGTTGGTGGATCTTTACGGACGGACGTCATCCCACCACATATTATTATCTAGAAAGAAAAGATGTTAGACCGTAATAGTTGTTAAAAAAATTCCTAATCTAAACTTCCTTTCTATAGCAGGCTGTAGAAAAGGCATGATAATCCAATTACACGGATTTTTTAAGTTTGCTTTTAGTGACCAAAGAATTATCACTAAGCGCCTTCCTTTTTCTGATGAAAGAACGCACCCGCTTGAAAATAAGCGTTTCATTCCAGATCGGGTCAACAGTATTTTCAGTGATTGCCGTTTCCTGACATCGATTTAAAAATATAACTCGAACAAATGCTCTCGATGCACGACGATTTGTCGGTAGTAAATCTTTGGCCCATAAAATTGATGCACGCATTTGCCAACGTGTTGCATGATCATAAACCTCAAAGATGAAGTTTCATAGATTTTACCGCACGATGGACAAATATCTCCTTCTTTGACAGATTCCTAATTTTTACAATCTTTAAAATCTTACTTCATAAATCCGAGGTGAAACTGAAACATCTTCAGCCAAATAAAGAGCCAGTCTTCTTCTAAAAGATTATTAAATATTGTGTAAATTTGTATCAAAAATCCCCTATTTATATCCATCTGAAGTTACGGAAAACAACATTTTGCATATAATATTAATAAATGTAAACCTCTGGCTAAGATTAGCCGAGAATACCATTTCACGAACATATCGCCTGCGTCGGTACTTGTCACCAGGCATCTTTTGCACATGTACCGGTTCACGAAAATCACTAGCATACTGTAAAGGCAATAACATCAGTATGTTTCCGACAAAACCAAACTATATTTATGAAAATGGATAACCTCCCAAAGCTCAGGATCAATGCTTCTCCGTAAAGCATCGATATTTTCAAAAGCATCTTTTGTGCCTGTTCCAAGCGTTCTCATACGCCACCAACGCCGACGTCGAAATTTATGTCCTTCCCTGAAGGAGTTCATTTAACAATTTTAATCTGTTAACGATTGATATAACAATATCCTTTCTTTCTTGACTCAAATTGCAGACATATTTGCTCGCCTGATATTCTAAAGTTAGATAAATTATGTTAACAAATTATAGAAACCAGCCAATATGTTCCAAAACCAAAATCATTAACCGCTCTCTGTAATCGGTAATGGCGTCATCATTAGCAAAATTAGCTGCATTCGAAGAATATGACCATCCTTCGGCATCGCCTGCACAGAACAGGTCAATCGTCCAATCGCCAACCCACCGCCATCCTCAAATTGTATTAAGCTCCAATATCACCTCGCATTTCAAACACGACTTTTTCCGCTGTTATTTCAAAAATTGAAATTTAGATGAATAGAGTCCAAATTTTTGTCACAGTGTCATTAAATTGAATAGAATTGAGCATATTTCTTGATGAGTAAATGAATTTACACGATAAAATTGTCACCTGGGGGAGCGTTTCGATCACGAGCATTATCAATGGGGTTACCAGATGCGCCTGTATAATATAAATCAGTCCATATATCATCTTGCTTCTCCTGCACTTCAAAAATTTCATCCTCATATCGTGAATGGCCGGCATCGGGTCCAACCCACATATCATGGCAAAACATTATTTTCCAGGCTCCCTTAAATTATTGATGAGCTATCATTACTATATTAATGAACGGTCATTATTATGTTCTCATCAATCAGTGACAAATATTCAGTTTGACAAGATTTTCAAAATTTAGCCTTGTAAGACCATCCATGAGACAATTTAACATCGTCTTCAGACATTCGAATAATTCCTGTTTCATCCGATCGAGCGTAGGGTTCACCACTGAAATCATTTTGTCAAAGAATTGTCCCTTTTACCTCCTATTAGCAAAAAAGTTCTTTTCAGCATTTCAGCACTTTTTAATCTATATTTGTATCCAGTTTTCGATGAAACGCAATAAACCTAACTTTCTCCCATCAGTCTCCATCCACTGACCACCCAGATGCCTTCGTTGATTTTCAAAAACTTCTGCAAAATATTGAACCACTCCAGGCTTAATTGCTTTATCCCAACTGTTACGATCCGTTACTTTTCCAAACCAAAGACGAAGATGAACAACGGCTGGTATTTGCTCCTTCTTTTCTTGCTTCTCATCATGGCTTGGCCATTTTAATGTTACTGCTCGCAGACGTCCACAAAACATTCCCCGATAACAGTCTTTCTTGTGATAATAGATCTAAATACAGATCTATTCTATACCATAGTAATTAAAAGACAATCAGTGGTTGCAACAAAATGAAATAATTTTGAACAAAACAAAATCGCTATAACTGTTGCTGCCTTGCCCTTGCTAATTTCACCAAAGTACAAATACAAACACAATTGCAATGAACTGAACTTTTGCTTTCATCCCACCAATGAATATTTTCAATTTCAAAAAAAAATCAAAATTACTTCATTTACAGGAATTCGTGCGAATGCAAGTAATTCGTCACCATCGCACATCGAAAGTATTGCGTCCGGTATTGACATCTCCGGCTCATTTGAAATTTTCATTAAAAGTTCAGCGGTTCGTTGCAGATGGTTCAGAGCAATCTGGTAAATTAAATGAAACTGATTAATATTCATGCGTCATTGGATTAAGACAAATATTATAGTAAGGAATGGGAACACAACATAAAAAATGGTTTAAGAGAATCAAGTGCAATTTAATCATGAAAATACACTCTTTGATTGCAGCGAAGATGAATGCACACTGACTTCGTTGACTTGGAATATGTCTTTCTTATCGTATTTCAGTGTAGTAAAATCCTCGATCATTTTGACAATGGATGAAATAATGACAAGACGACGTTGTCGATCAAGCAGTGATGACAGTGGTGACTCCCAGTCTTGTTCAATGCTGCAAGCAAAATCCATCCCTAATATCTAAATCATTAGTCATCATTATTAATTTCTATAACAAGTCGAACTAAACTGAAAGTTATTCAATGTTTCATTTGAAGAAACAAACCATTTGCTCAGTTTAGCAAAATAATCGCAAGCTTGTTCAATAGCATGGAGAATGATTGAAGACGCTTCTGTTTTACCGTCACATTTCAGTTTTGCCAAACCGGAAGAGTGTAACAGCATCTTAGCTATCTAAATATAAATGAACCTGCTAAAGTCTAAGTAAGATTAAGATTCAGCAATATAGCAAACAGTAACAAAATATCGCACCTTCTGCAAAACGTTGGAGTGTCTCATTCGAAATGAAACATCCTCCCACGCACAAGGGATTTCACAAACAGGTTTATGATTTCCCCATGGCATCGTATAGTACTTCTCAGCAAAGGCTGGCATAACCTTAACAATAAATAAGCCTCATCAATTTAAACTTCTCTCATGTCCTATCTCAATGCACGTTTCATTTCAAATGTTTCCCTTAGCATCAAAAAAGGTTAGAAATCTTTGATATGAGACAGTGATATAAGCTTAGAAATATAAGCAATGGAAGAAAGGTTACCGAAAGTGTTCGTGCTGTACATTTTGGTACCTTTCCGTAGGCTTGATTACCGTATTCTCCTATGCTCAACGAAAAACGCACATTTTTGCATCTGTTGAAATAGAAATCAAAAGTTTATAGCAAATATAAGCAAGTTATGCCGGGTAAAATTAAGGAAAAAATTTATCAAAAAACATACTTAAGCTTAGGATGAATCATATTTACAGCAAAAAATGTAGATAGTAATACATATTCTGATGTACGCAATTGTGGCTTCAGTGATAGCACAATATCAGGCGTCACCGGATCACGAGAACTTTGCCCGCAGTCTTCTTCCAAACATATCACCTCGACAAGAGCACGACCAACAAAACTGCAATTCGTTACTGTATTTTTTTTTACATACAAACAAGAAATGTGTAATATGAACGAATTACTACCAATCGCCTGGCCGTCTTCCTTCTCGTATTGCTTTCTCGATTTTTCTCGTTATTCCACGTTTACTTGATGCATAAAAGCTTATGTATGATGGACCAAATATTGGCAGGAAACTGTAAAATGCAACAGAAAGGATTATATTTAGCTTATTTTCGATTATTATTTTTGATATCTGATTAATCTTTAATATAAAAATGAACCCTTGATTGTCAGAGTTAGGTAGATCGCTTGTCATTGCACTCATATATCCTGATTGACAAATATCAGATAAGTTGACGTGTGCAGTAGCCAGTACTTTTTCCATATTCTTTTTACGAATTTTTGTCTGATAAATGAGAAGAATACGAAATGAAATCTAAAATAAATGTTTGTCGTACGATTCAAACAAAATTTGCAACTATTCCAAACATCTCAACTATAATATTCCCAAGTTTTCAAGGAGTCTCTCCACAACAGCACGAAATATTTCACTTCTAATACTTTCTCCAGATATTCAATTTAAAAAAAAAAAAGAAAACCAACGAACATGTTTAAAGACGGTTGGCCAAACGACAGGAAGCATGATTTCCTCATTAAAATCAATCACTTCATATAAAGCTGGCAGTACGTGAGTCATTTTACTTTGTTTTCCAATCTAAAAAATTTAACTCACATATTTCTAGTCCAAAATATGCATTACATTTTCAAAAACTAAATTCTCCATACTTGAACTTGCACAGCTAGTCTTGCAACATCATCGTTCTGCGTTCGTAGACGATCAGCTATCTGGCACAATTGGAAGATCCTTATCTGGAAATGAATAACTATAATTTTCGACTATAAAAAAGCTCATTAATGCAAATTTAACTATAAATTCATTGGTTATCGAGATAAAACATTTTTTACCTTAGTAAGTCACGTCGTTTTCTAAGCTTTCATAATTTTTAACAGCATAACCTACCAGCATGGTATATTGCATTAGTGAACCGGAGAACAAAATATCCTCGTCGTCATGTATCACCTTACTACGTAACGATGGTGCTGGTGTTGGATCGAGGCTTCGACGGACATTTATTGATACCTTTTTAAAAAAAAGCAAAAAATAATGATGATATTGAGGAAAATATCAAAAGTAATGAAAGGATCTGAAACAGAATAAAGATTATGACAGTTATCGCTCAGTGATAACATCCTTAAATCTTTTTTAAAAAAAACCGGGACTGAATTGAATGTTTACCCAAGAATTTATAACAGAAGTTAACAGTCATATATATGACGGCATGTTTTTTTTTTTGATATTTTTATGATTTTTTTAAATAAACTTCCAAAAAAAAACAATTCGAAATGAAACTTAAAACCTTCAGGAAGCCACGTATATCGGAAGAAGCAATTCGATCAGTCTCTCCAACTGTTACAACTTCTTGATAGTCGGCTCTAAGAACAAGCCATTTTTCTCGCAACAAGTGTCGTTCTGATTTGTAAATGTATCCTAGCTCGCATTGGAATCCTCCGATCAATGTGTCACTTGCAAGTTGTTGAGTATTGTAGACCTGTTTTAAATTTTTGCATAAATAATCTGATGAATTTAATGACAGCAAGTTTTAAGGAGATATCGTAGAGGTACAAGATATGGAAATATGCTACTGTAAACTTAACTATATGAAAGAGATACTTTCATTTTGGACTAAAACTCTTTCCAAATTCAAGCAAAAGAAATTCAACGCATAAATGGTTGGTCATAAGCGCCCTCTTCGCTTTTTTTTACTTAAGTTGCTTAGGATAGGATACGCAATACATTATACACAATTCTTCCCTACCAAATTTTGGGAACACAAGAAATTCCGGAATGCAAAAGAAACTTATACAGACCCGGAACTCCAAACACGTCCGGATCATATCCTGGAGGGACTTTCGGATCGTGAAAGAAAACGATTCATTCCAGCGCGGTGAATTTGTATTGTGTTGCGATAGACTCGAGCGGCAACGTCCATCCAATATCACTCGTAACAAAGGATTCAAACAATTTCCATGGAGTTCACGGGCCTCAAATATATGTAGCCGCACCTAAAGTAAAACTTTCATGCTTTTCGAATTATTGAATTTAGTGACGACTCTCTCGAAACAAAATTATATCTCTAGAGATGTCAACCAGTTCTGGTTCTGGGAAACACTTAAAAAGTAACGGTCAGCTCAGTAAAAGCTGAAACTTACAGTAAAGGATTGCAACATGTCAAGATCTTCGTCTTCCTTCTCATCTTGCATTTCAACCATTAGTTGGTTCATCTTATCAGCACCAACTATTCGTTCCCTATCTGATGCCATATTGTTAAGCGAATTATCCGTCGAATCGTTTGTTTCAGATTCCTACAACAAATTTAAAAGATTCAAAAGATTTAGAAGCATATACAAACAAACGTGTTGTAAGCATCAAAGCGAAAACTTCAGCAGAAACCTAAACGATCAAGCAATATCTCTGTTTTCAGATTTTCTCAGTCTAGTGGTTAGTGATTACAGCTATATGAACTATTTAGTCTTAAAAATTTAGCACTTGCCTGAAATGCCAAGGAAATAAAATTGACTCTACGCACGCAGTTAGAGAACGGTATAAAATGAAAGCGCCCAGTATCACGGAAATAAAGTTTTACAGTGAAAGACACAGGAAGACTAACCAATTGTTGATCCGATGAAACTCCATCGGTAGTTTGCACCGGTGTTTCAGTGAACTCACTTTCAGCTAACTCAGTTTCAGTATCCTCCGATTTGTTCCCTTCATTCATTGATTGTGATGATACTGATCGATCACGTCGGATACGTGATTTGACACGTTGACCAATATTCCGAATTTTTGATAATATTCGTCCACGCCCTTCTTTTTTCTTTCTTACTTTCTCTGGATCTCTCAAGTTTGCACTTTCATCGTAATCATCTTCCTCGCTACTCATATTTCGTTGTTCACGCAACTACAGAATCACATTAGTATGAATTACGTCATTGTTAATTTTAAAGAGCAATTACAGTTAGCATGCTTAAATCATGATAAAGACATTTCTATGACGTAAAAATGTTGTAACTGGAGGAAGGATGGAAGGATAATTTGGTACAGATAGAGATATTCCATTGTAGGAGGATGTTAAGCAAATGAAAAAAAGGAAGGATATACTAGAGAGACAGCTGAGGTTACTCTTTCAAGTTCACTTTCTCGCGAGAGATTCCCTGTCAGCTTCTTCAATTGTTTACTTAGAAATCGCTCAGTCATCATATTCTTCTGTTTCCTAGACCTGTTGTAAAATCAACATTTTCGAACACTGATAAACCTTAAATTTCGACCTTTGATTTGACAAACATGCACTTGCAAATCTCTTATTGATTATGAGGAAAACAAGAGAGTTAAAGTTTTTACACTTCCTTAAATTATTTGTAAATAAAGCCAACTGAGCTTCCATGAAATGAAAATAAAAATTTTTGCTTAAATATTAAATTAAATGAAAAATTGGGAGTAAACAACATGTGTTGAGTCCAATCGAGTTCTGCAAGTTGTCGGAACGGAAAGAAATTGATTTGAAACGAAAACTTTTAAATGTTCATTTAATCAAACAAATATATTTCAGATAAAATTATACTTCCAAATTTTTGCAAATAAAATACAAAAGCGCTGAAGCTGACTGATAGAAAAACTTATATACCATAGCTATTTGTGGTTGAATGATGGATAAGGGAAGTGCTTATACAAAACCGACTTAAAATGTTAAAAAATTAACAGTAAAAATGGACCTGTCGTCAAATCGATTAACAATAAAGTATTTAAGTAGCCAAGTTTGCAAGCAAAGAAGATTTAGAACAAACCAGCTGAAAGAGGTAACGACCATTTACTGGTTCAGATTTAATTCTGTTTCTAGGAAATTTCCATATTCAAATTGTTGAACAAATTTATTAATCGTCACATGCATGAACGGCTTATCATCGGTTCAAGTTGAAAAAATTTCGCAATCTCTTAACATTCTTCCCATTTTTCAGAATCAAAATAGTAATAAAAATGAAAATTATAAAAACTTTTAGATTGAAAAGAATATTTATTTAGGTAAACAAAATTTTAATCAGCGATCAGTTTTCATACAGAAACAAATTTCGATGCAAACTGAAAAAGAAATTTCCATCTTAATTTTACTTTTAAAATTTAAAAGGGATATCGAATGAAGCTCTACTATACCTCGATTTTTCATAATACTAACGTCTGCAGAAACTTACAGTACTCTCTTCTATAGGTGAGTCTAGACTTTTTGTTTACAGGTGAAAAATTTCAAGGGTGCAAATTCTGCATATCACAACATTAGCATTGACTTCATATAGTTAAATAGGAAGATTAAAGAATGTCAAGCACAAGTCGCATTGTTGCAAGAATATTCAATACTTCATCAGTACCGCAAAATGTCGGCATATTTACAGTAGTAACAGGTAATAAAAAAGATTGCGGCCTTAGTGGTATAGGATATACTAGACCATTCCCTGATACTGTATCCGATTTTTTAGATTCATCGAAAGTTACAGCGGACATGTTCGTTTCAGACGAAGGTTGAGATTTCGCTGTCAAGATCTGAATGTCAATTACTGATTAATCAAATATTCTTCTATTCGGGACAGTTTTTAAGTTCTGTAATTTTGCAGTTTCTATAGTATTTTTTTGAAACTGCAAAAACCTTATATAAATATTCAAAATAGCTTTTAATTGCGTTTCGCGGGTCGATTAAAAGCTTAACATAATTTTATGTGAAATGGAGAAGCAGTGATTTTATAATAATGTATGAATTTATTATTCAGATTTAGGTTAATTTAATCAATTTGAAAACTCCGCCATTTACGATTCTCATGAGAGAACACATTTGAACGCTCGAAATTCTGAACAAATACTTACTCTCCAATGAATAATTATTAACTTTTAGGAAATCATTGACTCACCGTGCTAAATAACAAGTTCAACTGAGGAATAGGTGTTTCAGCGACACCTTGATCATAAGCTTGTCGTGTTAGTTGCTTGTCCATTTTAATCGGTGTCGTTAGCATATTTGAATTGGTTAGTGAATTCATTGGTATTGGTACATCTAAGAAAAAAGCACGAAATGAATGAATGATTTGGCTTTCCTACTTCAAAACCGGAAATGACTGGATTTCAGGTTGTGCGTACTACTAAAAGAATTCGCCTTTGTTTTTTTTCGACAAACAGAATCATTTTTTTTTTTCTGTATTATGCAACTGTGGCCAGCTTACATTATACATTACATTACTCTGTCAAAGATGATCTAATCTTCATAACATTGTAAAATTAATATAAAATTAAACGAATAAAGGCCTGCTTACAAGTTTGTTGTTCTTTTTTGTGTTTGTTGGATCTAAATTTTGAGGCCTTCAAAATTTGGTCTAATTTGCGTCTCGTTTCAATCAATTCACATTGATCACATCTACAGTTCGCATACAAGCAGTGTCGTTTATGTTCCTGAATCGATCTTTTTGTTCAAGACGTTCGTTGAAAATTCAAGAACGCCGAAGTAAACCGTAGTTTTAGTTTTAATTTATTTAAACATCTATGAAAATTTCTAAACTTTTGTAGGTCTACAAATATCTTACCTTTTTCCAAACCAAAAAGCCATGATTTTTGCATTTTTGACAAATGTAGCATTGATTTTGGGTCATGGTACCTGTTTTAGTTATTTTTCTGGGATGGAATATCTGAAAGATTTTAAGAATAGGTAAAAATCTTTCTTTCATCTTTTATAATTCATTCCAACGGAAGAGGAAATCCTTTGCTTTCGAACACTAATGGAACCTCTTTCGTAAGTTGAAGAAGGACGATCAATTGAAAATCTGAGTTACAGTAAAAAAAAATGGTTTGAAAATGACGAATTAATCCTGATGACGAAATGTAAAGGAGGAGTGGGCAGTAATAAGATTAGGAATGTTGTGCAGAAGATTGATATCTAATTTTTTCATCTAGTATGGAATCGGGATTCGATAATTGTTTCTACAACTCATTCAACACAGAAGTGAACTTACTCCTGGATCACTTTTATCAAGATAATTTTGGGGAATGATAGTTGCTTGGTTGGGCTCCGAAGTGCGCTGGAATATTTTATCCTGTGCACGGCGTATACGAATTTGTGTGCTCATAATTTGTCGACGTTTACGTATCAGCAAACACTGCAACAAGTGGATGTTAACTTAATTCGGGAATTATTCATATTTTGAATCGAAAACAGTATTTAATGCTAAATAATGTTAATTCCGTTCATTTCCAGCCACTGTTTTATTCACAAGGAGAAGAATGGATGAGTAAGCAATTAGATCGTGTTGACATTCAAGAGCATTATAAAAATGTAAGCGATGATGGTAATTTTAGCAATTCATTTGATATTTTAGTCTCATCGGGTTGTGTATGTTCTACCCTTGAACAGTTGCAGTTCTTCCGATTGCAGTAATGACCACGCGTTTCCACAAGCATTCCATGCTGTCGACAAAGTCCACAATGGCGTTTCACGTCTGAAGTATTTTCTTTTTTGTTTTATATTATAATGCTTTCCTAGCTTTCTTCACTTTTATATCGAAATTTCAGCTTAACTTTCATCGATACATTCAGGAATTGAACGTTCCAAAGTAGTTATTATACGAGTTTCCCAAAAAATCTCTTTAAATCACACCAACCTTTGGGCATTTTTTTACTTATGGCAAAATATCGTTGACAATTCTCTTCTTCAGTCATTCCCTGCAAATTAGATATAAATTAATTCTGCAACGAACTCTAAAAATTAATTTTTATGTATGTATTGTTTTGGTTGCAGTGACTAAGTTTGGAAATAAAGTTGATTTGAATAAAGATGTGTTTTGCATAGACAAAGAAAGAAGAAAAAAAATAGAGCAGAAACGATTGCAATTTCCAATGTAGAAATAGAAAAAAAAATTTTTCAGAGACATGCGGAAATGAAATTACATTAAAATTATATCTTAATTAGTTAAGTTTAAAAGTAGTAAAGTCACTCTAAAGTAGGGGATGAGTAAAGTACGTTGAAATGTTATTAAATAAAGTTTTAAACAGCAACTTCCCTTGTTTCTTTCTTTGTATATACAATTTCCGCTCAAAATGGTTGCTTGCTTATTCATATTACAATTGAGCTAAAGTGTCGCTATTTCTTAGAATCCTAAAGTTTAAAGCATACTTTATGATGCTTTTTTGATTCGAAAATTTTACAATTTTCCGATCTCTTCTATTCACTATATACAGTATACCTTCCACAGTAACAATATACTTTGAGATAGTTTTCAATCAAAACTAGCACAGACAGACGTTTAGATGAATGTAATGGTTCAGTTGTTGTTAAAAACATTTGAAGAAAGATGGCACAACAGAGAAAATACGTTAGGTTAGTTATTACACGCTAGTTTTTGCTAAATATTTTTATATTCATTCTACTTACTTTCCACAGTTAAACCATATGTAAATTGATTTATTTCAAAATTTACTTAAAGTACTCACAATTTAATTGATCTAAAAATTTTGCAAAATCATGTAGTTGTAAATAAATTACTAATTAAACACCGAAAAAGTCATCAAATTCTAGTACAATTCGGTTAATATACAGGGCAAAAGATGTATAATGGAACAATGAACTATATGGGAGTAAGCAGGAAAAACTTGGTTCTATGAAGGACCAACAAATCCGACATAATAAAAACTTCTATTGAGAAGGTCAAGCTAGTACTTCAGAAAAAATTGACTTGATATTTCCTAAATATGAAAATGAGGATCCGAGCAATGGTCGAATATCAGTTCTCGGATATTAATGTTCTTAATTACTGATTCAAAGTTTTTGTTAGTAAACGGCAGTAAAAATAAAGAAGTAGAGAAAAGTGATTCAAAGTGAGGAGAAGTACTTGTCAAAAGCTTTTTTGTCAGAAGGTTCAAACTCTTTTATAGAGGACGAATTTTGCGAACAATGAGTTTTGTCACTATTAATAAACATATAGCAATGATCATATTACGTAGTTTCTCCGAAATTTTCTTTTGTCTCACTCTTGATAATAAAGCATATAAAGAGACAATGAGACAAAGCTATTAACAGTGACAGGTCGTCCTGGAACACCTACTTGATTTCATCATTGTAGAAGGAATGCTGTATTTTCTTTGACAAAATAAAAACAAAAACCAATACCAAATAGCATAACAGAAAAATATTTTAAGCTGAGTAATGAGTTAATTCAATTTATTCCCTCTGAGTCATCCATCAAAGTTCTACAGTAGTGATCGAAGTTGTAACGAAATTCAAGAGCCTATCAGTGGCAGTCATAGAACTTAAACAACCATGGCATCATGGATTGATCATTACTAAAAATAGGCATTACTGATAAATCAAAAATGCATGGATAATTTTACTAGTCATTTAGCAATCATTCAATAGGTTGGTGTTTGAAATATTGCTTAATTATTGGAGAGATAGCTGTCAACAACTGCTTGATTAATTAATTGATTGATTAGAATATATTCTGTTATTTGCAATGGGTACATCTAATGATGACCTCGTAGCAATGGCATTAATTTATCAAGGCGACCTAAATTTGCTGTAATATCAACGCAAGCTCTGATCATTTCCCAATGGCAACGATCAGTTGCAGTTTTATCATCACAATTGTTCTTCTTGACGTTATTATCCACTCTTTATGTATATTTTGATCTTTATCTCATTTCGGTTTATTTTTAGGTTTAATCTTTAATCTTAGGTATTTCAAGAGTTATTTTACGAAATATGGTTCAAATTTTTAAATTATTTGTAACTAACTTAAGTTGTGCGAACTTTTAAGTTGTATCGAAACCCGATAGTTTTTAATTGACAAAACAAGAACTTAGTTTCAATTTTGCAAAGAATTCATTCATTTTAGCATTTTTAGTTCCTAACAACCGAAAAAAATATTTCAATAGATTTGCAGTGAAAATTTCAAATAATATTTAAATTTTCTTGCCTTACAATGAATTGAAAATTTATTACGCAGATGTGGAGACGAATGACGGAAAAGCAAGCAGATGTCTTAAAGAATGCTTGAAATTCGAACGTTCCTTCACTTTTCAGTTTGAAAATTTTGAAAAAGTTAGCTTTGTTTAGTGGGCGCTTCTGCTAAATATGAACGACGGACTGATTGGAAATTCAAATTAACCGGGATTTGAATTCTAATGCAAGTTCAGATCAAAATTTAAATTTGCATTTAATAAAAAATTTTATTGCAGCCTTCTAAAGTTCCAAATGTTAAGGAAATTTTAAGGTTTATTGGATTATAAAATCGGTTAATTTTGACCTTCCATTCAACTCGGTTTTTCCTAGATGAGACACTTGAATCGGCGGCATTGTGTAGCCAAAAGTGTAGTCCAGCTGATCAACACCGCTTTTATTATTATACAGTTTTCTATCGTTTACACTGCATCGATTTTTATGATGGTAACTTCAGTTCAAATCATACTAGAATTATTGTTATTATTTGTGCTTCGTTTAGTTAGAGGGACTTCCGATCAGTTCTTTCAGAAGAGCCCTAGATTTTTCCCACAGAGAGTTTAAAATCGCAATATTATCTTTCGAGGTATGTTAATTGATCTTCGCAGGAATTACTAGAAGCAACGTTTGCATTTCCATTTTATTTTCAGTTTAGACTTGAAAAGTTTTTTACTGATTTGATCATTCAAATTTGATCACATTCATGTATAAAACCTGTAAAATTTGGCAACTACATGTTGAATTCAAGTTTCTTGAAATTATTTTCAATTATTCTCTGTTATAGAGTTTGAAAACCAACTTAATTGCTTGAAAAAAGCATCACCAAAAGTCGACAAAAGTAAGATTTGTAGTTTTTGATTTGATTAAATAAGTTGATTACTTACTTAATGCTCAACTAAAGCAGTAGTTGAGTAAAGTAATTCTAAATATCATCATTTCTATTCAGATTTGTTCAACAGGAGAGAAAAAAGAATACCAAATTTCGGATCATGAAAAATTAAAAATGAGAAATAATTTCAAATGTTTTGGTTGCAAAAGGTATTTACTTTAGATTTCATATTTGACAATTTAATTCTTCCGATATCAGTGCTGCTGCAGAATAAGGAAAAAGATAAAAATTTGATTCATTATGGTACAACATTTTAGTTTGCACTGAACGATGCACATTGAATAATGACGAAATGGACAACAATGAAAACCAAATCAAAATTCATTGCAAGTTGGGAATTGACCTTTCTTTATATTCATCCATTTTATTTCTGACTTTCAAGCAATTTATCGCCTTTCGCTTTGACGACGCCAATTTTACAGTTTCTGGAGCTTAAAAACTTTTAAACTTTCAATTTCATCAACTTTTCTACTTTGCAGCACTTTTCAATACACTCTTCCCACAAATTAAGGTTTTTGAATCAAAAATTCTGTTAAGGTTTTTCATACCAATCTTCCTACTTTCTGGAATCTCTAGTATCAGGATAAAAATATAGCGTAATCGATTTGATGAGTATCGTTTAGTAAAACGAGATGGCCTTAAATGCCATTAATACATCTATGACAATGATGATAGGTATAATGAGGACCTCATCAGATGGATAAGATTGGAATATCTTTTTCTAGAAGTGCAAAAAATCCATTTGATAAGCTCGAACCACCGAATTAGGCGCAATTTGGTTCTGTTAAACACTCATTTACAAAGCAATTTTGTTAATTAAGAAAAATACTGTAGAAGAAGTGATGCAATTGAGGAATTGGGCCTATTCGATAAATGCGAACACAGACATATAAAATACTATAGATAAGTGATGCCATCAATTTGGGAACTTTGCGGTTATGGCCACCTTAAATATATTCTAATCAAAAATTTTCACCCTATATGACATTGTTGTACCAAGACAACAACATATTAGTACGAAATATGAATGCTAATAAAGATGAAATTGACAGTGACAAATCTTTCCTCGATTAGTTGAAAATAAAGTCTATACAACAGCCTCAAAAGCTGAACCAAATAATCATAACGCATTTTATTTCTCGGGACATGAAGAGCAGGAAGGTGAGATATGACTGGATATGATTGGTTCTGTGTTTTTGGTGAGATAATTTATTTAAATTTAAGTGATTCAGTAATCTATCTAATTAATCATTCAATTAATTGATCATATAGCATGAGACAGCCCACTAACATAAAAGAAAAAGATAGAGTATTCTACAGAAGTAAAGAGTTAAAAATTGGAAAAGTTTCACTTTTTCAGGACTTTGGGGTATTCGCTGATCTTTTATTATAAGATATTCACTAGCGCCTGTCCTGAAACGCGTGACACCCTTTTGGTAAGCATTATAATATCCTACAAATTCAACAAAATAGTTCATTTATTTTGTGACCACAGAGGGACACGAGAAAGAATCGCCCACTCTTACACTTCTGCGTAGTCAGTTAATGATTTATACCGGTTTCCATGACTCATACCGGAGATAAAATTGCAAAATAAACATATCTATTTGTTAACTAGTTTAGCAGGAAAGCTTTCTGAAAATTTAAAACGATTCAATTGAGTTTCAAAAGAATTCAGCGTCTAAGCAATCAATGACATACGATTATTCACATCGCCAGATAGTCTATTAAAACGGGAAGCTGAATGTCGCCAAGTGCACGACGAAAATCAGATGACGCACAAAATGCTCGAAGCATGTGAATAATAGCGTGAGATACATTTAAGAGTGCTGAAGAAAAAGTGAAAATAATGAAAACTGATAATGAAGGACTGATTGGTATTAAACGCTTTATTCAGTTTCAATGGCCAGCTAGATGAGATGCTCCTCGGCCTTAGAGGATCTTCAGCTCCTAACAAAGGCTTTTTGTTAATTTTTTTTTTTGTTTCTGCAGTTACATTTTGCTTTTAAAATCAATTTCATCGAGGAAAAATGGCATTGTCTTTCTTTTGTTGATATCTTCTAAAGTTTCCATTTTCAAAACTATGATGTTTTGTTAATTTATTTACAGATCGACTCCCCGAAAACTGATATTTGAAAGAATATTTCATACTGATACTCTGAATTTTTTTTGACAATGAAAACGAATTTGCTTTTGTGTCATTCAAATGTCACCTAATTTTTAAATAATCGAATTTTTCCACAATTTGTATTATTTTTGTTTTATATATCTCCTTTGTGAATTATTTTTCAACTCATTTGTTTCTAAATTCTAAAATTCCACGCGAACTGCAAATTTATTGCATTTTTGTGTTTGGTCATATAGGTCGAACAAATCATCACGAAAATCGACTGTAGTAACTGGTACGTGACGGACAGGGGCAATAGGCGGCGTAATTTCCAGGGAGACCTTGTTCACCAGGTGCTCCTGGAAGTCCATTTATTCCCGATCGGCCTGGCATACCAATACGCCCTGGTGGTCCTACTGGTCCTGGTATTCCATCATTTCCTCTCTGTCCATCCGGTCCAGGTTCTCCAACAGATCCAGGTAAGCCTTGCCTTCCTTTCGATCCTCTTTTTCCCTTTCCACGCAACCCATCTTGGCCTGGTAGACCAGGTAGACCAACAATACCAGGTAGACCTGGCAAACCAGCGTCACCACTTGGTCCTGGTAGTCCTGGTAGTCCATTTTGGGCCGGAGGTCCTGGATGTCCTGGAATTCCATCCGGACCTTCAGAACCTTGTAGTCCGTCTGGTCCAGGTAGACCAGGGGGGCCAGCCGGACATTTGATGCAAGGCATATCTTGTGGTGGACAAGTAACTGGTGGGTAAATTACTGTATTGTCTTCTCCGGGTAATCCAGGTAGACCCGGCTCTGAAAAAGAGATTACTGAACCCAATATGACAAAAAAGCACTTTATTTTCGTCTGATAAATTCAGAGTACTTGTAATACCGAAAGAGCATTGAAAAAAACATACGTCCTTTTTGGCCAGGTAGACCAGGTAGTCCTGGTAGTCCGGGGGAACAAATTGATTTCGGTAATTGACATAAACAATAAGATGGCAAGTTCGAGTACTCTTGACGTTTTCGTCGAAATATACTACTGAATGGATTATCTCGTGGTCGGTTAGGCGGACTGAAGCTGATTTGGATACTCATCATTTCGGACCATGCTGAATCGGTTTCGGCGCGAAATATCTGTATATTAAAACAATTGTCGAAATTTTTTGTGATGTGGAAAGTTCAGATATAAGTTTAACTAAAAGTAATTAATGATCAAATTATTCCCATCATGATGTTCACAGTTTCATCCACTTCATTCTATAGAACGATTTATGAAAAAAAAATACTATGGAAGAACAGTTCGTCATGAGAAAATTTCACTGCAAAGTAATTTTGTCCAACATTTATTTCTTCGAGAAATTGGTTTTAACAGTTTCATAAAATTGGGATTGAATAATTTTGAAATTAACTACATGGTTTTCGTGAAAAGTGCTGTTTGTAAAATCATTGATTTGATTAACTCTTTTAATTGGGATGGCATCTACTTAATTAAAACAACTAGTGCTGGTAGTAAGTATTAATGAAAAACATTGAGGGCATTAAAAAAACAGGACACTCTCTCTATCTTCTTTTTTAGGTTTTTAAATGTTCTTTGCTTCTTTTATCCAATTGAACTTAATGTTGTGTGTCCCGTAATTCTGCTTCTGTCTCAAAAAAACTTCCTACTTCTTGCATATTCTGTTTTACATATGAGATGTCTCGGAAACTTTATATAAATTGTTAGTATCAATACTTCTCGCAATAAGTTTGTAAACTAGAAAGTTCCTCAAGCATTAATTACAGTATTAGTTATTTCGATGCAAATGCTCAATCTAAAGATGTATTCTCCCAGTTGTCGCCTTTTTATTTTCAAAACAAATTGATGCCCCATTTCTCATAATCATATTTCTGCTCTCTTGATATGAATGAGAATTTTCCACTGTGATATCAAAATTGGATTAATACATTTCTTGGAAACACTTCTTGTCAATGAAATATGCCAGTATGTATCAATTGTTAGAAAAAAATTGTGACTCATTTTGGGAATGATTAAAAGTAAATAATTGTGCTATTATCATCAGAGCAGAAATTTGAATCACTTCTATAACTCCAAAGAAAACAATCCCATATCTACGAAGATTAGCTGTTAAACTAAACATTCCTATCAGTGCTACAAATGATTAGGCATATCCAGTCCTGTGCATGAAAATATTTCGAAATAATGATCAAACAATTACAGTTTGATAAACTTATTTCTTTCATCGAAGTAAATAAAACAAAAAGTTATTAGGCAATCATTCCAACAAGATTCCTTCCTCTGATTTGATGACTTTTCATTAACTGTTGAACTTTTTGAGATTTAGGACAATACTTTTTGAAATGGCTCAAGTACTAAAAAAGTACTGCTTGGAAAATGAGAAAACATTAAAGAAATGGAAAAGCGTAAACTTCAAAACGAAATTTACAAGAACTTGGAGAAAGTGAAAGTTCAATTAGAGAAAAATAATAAAAAGACAAAAAATAAATGAGCAAGTCATTAGCAAGATTTTCTAATATATTCTTCGATACAAAAAATGAATAACAATTAAAAAGTTGAGATAAAAAGAAGTACAAATTTAGTATTATTTTTCGGATAGGATAGACAATTTTTCGCTAGATAAAAGTAACTACGAAATAATTTATCCAGGATTAAAACTCTGAGAAGCCGTTTTGATTAACATATCAATCGTCTGTTTAACATCATTATTCGTTGATGTTAAAGCACGAAATGATGTCAAACTTGTGATAAATTAGTTTTGAAGAATTATGTTATCGAAATTTTATTGATTTTCGGAATAAATTAGTAGTGATTTTAAATTTTAATGTTTATTTCTCAGACATTCATGAAAATCATAATTAAACACATACTTGTACCTCATCCAACACTTCATCGCCGATTTCTTTTATCACTCCGTATGCGGAAGGTATCACAACCAAGCATGCAGTGATTGCAAGCACACTACAGGTGAATGCTACAACTATCACAATTTTTGCTTCTTGCATTTTACAAAACAGGAATGAAGATCATGGAAAACGTTGTGATCATATTTATACACTCAAACGGGTCGGGTTTCATTTTCCACTGCAGTGTTGATAATTGCAACGCTTCCAATGATGACGACAAAGATAGCTTTCAGTCATCGATGGTAAAGATCATCGGTGGCCTCTGCAATTGATATTTTAAAGATATAATGGATCATAAAACCGGTTTTGACGTTCCAGAAGAATGGAGGAAAAATCTGCGGTCAGATATCACACTACTCTTTCTTTCATCCCCCACTTAAACTGGAGATTCATCAACTTAACCATCTTCTGGCACTTCAACAACATCAGCTGTTAATCATTTGAAAAATGCATACAGAAATAAACGACATTATCTAATTCTGTTAAATTCAACAGTTTGATGACATAAAACTAATCTATATAAATAAAAATGTAATTGTTCGGTTTATCCAATGCTTTAAATTTCCCAAAGTTCTTCACCGATTATTCTGAAATTTTGATAAACGTTGCATTCGAATCTCGAGTATTTTAGTATATCCGCATTATATAAATGTTACACCTGTGACGGGTAAAAACATACTTTTTTTTGAGTACATATATAGTTATATAAAGAGGAGGATCTTTGATAAGATCCATCAAGGTCATCATGGAGGTCTTATACGCTTTTGTTGAAATATTGTCGACATTGTAAATATGCGTAGTTTAAACTCGTATTGCAAGATATTGTAAATCAACTAGTATTGACTACCAAGTTTGAAGTCGGCATATTCTAAAGAATCTCAGGTCACTGTCGATAAGTTTTAAAGAACCTCAGGTCATCTTGAGATCAATCGGATTGACCTCATGGATTGTTGTAAACTTCTCCTATATAAACTTTAAAATCGGGAGGCCGACCGAATTCTATTTTATCTGCGCACAGCAATATTTTCTTTCAACCTCGTTCATCTTCAAATTCTCACTATTACCTAACTTAATTGTTTAAATTATACCCAAATTTGTGGCTGAACTGTTATTATATTCACTAAGAATAAACTTTCCTGCCCACTGCATGGATCAGTCCAGCTTTTTCCGGTGAATTCTAATGTATTTTTTGGGAATTATTCCTAAACATAGTTTGATTTCTTCCTTTTTCCATTGTTTTTCATTTCATTCTTTAACTGTTTTTTTTATTTTTCAATGCAATTTATATCTATATTCTCTCTTCTCTTCTTCTTATAAATAAACGCATTATTTTATGTTTTTCTGTCTTTTTTTTTTGTTTTACAACTCTGTGTGTTCTTGTTATAACTTCCTTACTTTTTTTCTTTTCAGTGCAATCGGTCTGTTCATTAAAATAATGTCTCACAGAAGATCAAACTTAGGTCGTCGTATTCGTGGAGAGGAAGCAATATGATGAATAATTGCGAATCAAACTTGGAAGAACGAGCAGCAGCAAACGAAAGAAGATAAAGAATGACTCAAATACGTGCCGAGTAACAGCAGAGCAACGTGTCACCAGACTAGAGGGTGCACGGTTCCGAGCACGGCGATCCCGTTCTACAGTTTCAGATCTGCTTCGTTGTTTCGTTCTCAATAGATGGACGCGACAGACTAAGTGCTTGCTTAAAATACTCTATTTTGTGACAACACGTAGAGATATTAAAATTAACCGCAAATATGCGTGTCCAGCTGCAGAACGATCGATCAACTGAAATATTCTCACATTAATTGCTGAAAATTGGGAACAGAAAGGTGACGATCAATCTGACCTCAGGATAAATTTCATTGCCCTATAACTTCTGCATTTAATACTGTCAAAGAAAGATTTGATTGGAAAAGTGTTTCCCAATATTCAAACCAATTATAAGAATCACGATTGGTTGAATGAACGAGCTATTCTTGCAGTCAAAAACAAAGACGTCTACGAACTATTTAGTCTAACATTCAAAGCAAAGCAATTACATACAAGCTTGTGGACACTGTTGTGGATGAAGCAGTTAATTATCTAATAAAATTTTTGAATTCACTCGGTCTGTCAAAGATGTCTCCAGCACCTACTGCAATTGAAAATCGACGTGCCAATTATCATGTTGCTAAATATCAATCAGCCAAAGCTTTACAATGGCAAGCAGTAAAAAACATTATTAACAAAGCTAAGAATTAGAATTTTCGGTATAGATCTAAACAAGAATTGTTTCTAAGATAGATATATGTTGCATATTCTAGAGTCTAGAGACATATCAAACAATCTTTATATCTGTACAGACAATGAAACAACAAAAAATATTGTATACCCACAAGTATTATGAAATTAAACTATATATTAGAAGTGTACACTTTCTTTTTCTTTTCCACTTAACAACAACTCTTCTATAATACACATTCTGCTTAGTGTTGTGTTACGTATATTCATAATAAAAACACCGTATTCTTAATTTAACAAACTACTGATGAAAACAAGATCCTCCCAGACAACCTACCAGAAAAAATTTGTATAGGACAATAATTATTGAGTCCAACAAGTTATATGTATTATATTATCAAATCAATTAGTAATATAACTTATAATTTGAAATAAAAACACAACCAAATGACGCAAATTCGAAGTTATCCTTAAGAACAAAATATTCGTAATGCATATTCTGCTTACTGTTACGTATATTCATAATCAAAACAACGTATTTTTAATAGAAAATATCTATTGTGGAATCTGTCATGGAAAGTTCAGAAGATATTTACATCCCTCCAAAAAATCCTTTCAAAAACACTCGAATATTCGTATTACGAAGTTTGTTTTCTATTCGAATTTTCCGTGAGAAAGAAATCGGTAGTCAGTTTTCAGCT